CCTTGGTCACAAGCCAAAAAGGGCTTTGTCAGACACTCAGCCGGGCACTAGATCACAGGAACTACCTGCACCGAGAGGCTTTGTTTGGTCCTGCTGTCGTCACGGAGCAGATTAATGGGAGAAAAAGGAGTGGAAAGAAGCTCTCACTCCAGCAGCTGCATCCCTATGAGCAGCCCCTTGCACACGCGTGGCGCCTGGAAGAAAAATGTGCTGGGAAACGGGAGAGCTGCTGTGCAACTGCAAGCTGCAGCGATCCAGAGAGATGTCCGAAGGGACGTGGCTGCGGGAGCAGGGCTTTGCATTTGATCACGCACGCCCGCATTTTAGCCTACAGAATTTTTGAGGGTTTGCCTAGTCATAGTAGCTGTGTATAAAGCACAATTCCTGTAATTTTTTTTCCTCCTGCTATTTCTGTCCTCTTTCATCATGGATAAATTCACATGAAGGAAGCTGATGGGGCTAATTAGTTCCAAGCAGTGTTAATTCCTCTGCTTGGAACTCTTGGTTACCCAGTCAGATTGCTCCATTTTTGCAGCTTATATTTTAAAACCTCTTCATTTATAGCACCTAATCCTTTATTTCTTCTTTTTTTTTTCTTTTTGATCCTATAGGGAAAACATAATTCCACATAATTGGGACATAGAAGCTTGCAATGGAAATTACACATGGTTGCAAGAAAGGTTTTGACTTGAATGGAAATATATTCAACAAAACAGTAGCCATGGCAAGACCATAGAGAGACATACATGAAGGGTGACTTTAGCAACAAAATGCAATCACCGTAATACTTAATGTCAGGAGCTAACCTACCTAGCTGCTTTCTCCCAGACTTGTGTAGAACAAGAAATAGCTCCACAATTCATACATCAAGCTGGAAACTGCAGTGCTTGTGGGAATAAGATACTTTGCCATCAAAGTCACCCAGAGTCGTGCAGTCTTTGTCTCATGGCTTCAAGCACGGCCATGCAAATGTGGCTCGTAGCTCTGGCTCCCAGGCATTGATGGCAACTTGAAGCAAGGTTTGCTCAGTAACTACAAATATTTAATAGTTTTGATAAGTGGCAAATGAAACTTTTTCATATGCACTAATATTTAGCACCAAAGGTCATACGTTTTATTATCAGAAAAATGAACTTATTTCCTAGGAAGATGGAGTCTGGGCAGACTTAGGGACAAGGTCCTTGGCCTCTGTAGAGATGTGAAAAAAACACCCTGTCATATAGTCAAGAACTGATTAAGAGGTGCTATTGTCACTGCCTTGCCGGAGTCTCACCCAACCCTGTTCCCACCTGGGTAAGCGGTAACTGCAACTCTTCCATGACGTGTATTACTCACACCGCTGAGTCCCCTGCCATCAGCAAGATGCTCCAAATGCTTGCACCCTCCCTTCGCTCAGGATGTCTGTAGAAGGTGAATGGCAGAATTAGGAAAACCCCCACTTTCACTTCCTACCTGTTATTCTGAATCTTGGACAGCGTTCTCACCATTGCCTGTCCCCACTGACCCTACAGCTATGCCTGAGATGAGTAAATGGCACGAAGGCAGGTAAAACATGCTGAAAGTCAAACGTTTTGTACTGGAAATGAAATCTGGCTTCTGCGGCTCATCTATCTCATTTCTTGATTTTTTTTTTTTTTCTAGGCAGGTTTAGGCCTCGTCTGCATGAAAACCTCAAGGGGAAACCAGGGTTAGTTTTCAGTCAGCAGAGCCTTTTTTTTTTCAGAAGCTCCCATAGATGTCCTCTTAAAATGAGGAAACAGCAAACCCATAAGCTGGGAAGTAAATCCCGGGTCTCTTCCCAAGCTGTCTGGTTGTGTCAGGATTCCTTACCATTCCGTTTTATATTTCCGATAAGTCATTGACAGATGACTCTAACACAGATGAATCAAAAAAAATAGTAAAAAAAAAAAAATCCAGCGTATTAGAAGATGGTTCATCTCTGTAGATGAAACAACCACCTCTACCTTCCGTTTTGAATAAATTCAGATGTTAACTGAAGTGGCCTGGCTTATTTCCAGTTTACAGTAATTCTATTCCACTTACCTGAAATTCTCCTTTTAGTACAACTCTGATGAAATGTTTGTCATCTCTCAACTGCCTGCAATGGTTACAAAGTGCTACAGGAGCAAGAGTGGTTATGGCAGTGGCAAGTAAAGTGATTTCTTTATAGGCAGTGATAAAATTTTCAAGAGCATCCTCCACTGGCACAAGTCTGTTTCCCTGGAAGAAACTTGGAATTGCCACAGACTCAGATGGGAGCGGAATTAAGCCAACACAGGTGCTTTTGTACATCCCAATGCTTCCCCAGCGTATTCTGTATTGATACGTTGAAGTCCTTCAGATTATTAGTTGGCTGGAAAGACAAAACTTATACACAAGAAAAAAAGGAAGCTGGAATCTAAAAATCAGGATTATTAAACGACAACAGTGAGAGTATATGACAAGGGCAATTTTATTTTCACCATGATAGTTTGTTTCTAGCTTTTTTTGACACCATATTTTGCCTAATGTTTTTCTGGAAGAGAAGTGGCTTGAAATCTCCTGTGAAAGTAAAGGAGCAGAGATGAAGCTAAAAATGCTCCTTGTATTTCAAGTAGTGTTTTGGTACAGCTGTTTGGCAAGCACTGTAAATAGTTACTGCATTTTATTTCAAGGCTCAGAGGCTTCTTTTATAAGCTCATCTCCTTTATTGCTCCAAAACAGCAGCAAAAAACAACGCTTCCCCATCCATATACAATGCGTTACTAACTGAATCCAGCCCAGAAACTCCGGTGGGATGTCTGTGTCTTCCGAACGTCCTAACCTCTCATGCGGAGTTGGAAAGCAGAAGCCACCTTCCTCTTTATTGTAGCAGCAGTTTAATGACAAGGAGAGGTTTTTTTACCCCTGCACCCATAGGCTGTCTTAAATTCATTTATTTTTTACTACATTATTTAGGTACTTTGTAATCCTTCAACAAAGTAAGGAATGTCATAAATATGAAGCGTCATCCCATAAAATCACAGTCCTTTAGAGTGGCAATTGGGGATTGTGTTCATGATCTGGTGTACTCTTCCAGTAGGAAAGCGGCAAGCGGAAATGATGCTCAATTAAAAGATGAGAGTGAGAAATTAAATAACTGCAAGTATCCTATTCATCAAAAGACCAAAGATCTTCTGCAGATAGAAAACTATTCTCCAAATGATTTAAGAAGCCAACAAATAAGGAGGGGCTTATTAATCACTGTGGTCTAACCTCATTTAACGGGAAGAAGTGAGGGGGTTTTGCTAATACATGAAAGTGGGACCCAGAGACGACAGACTTTTTTCATAGTTTGTGGATGGATCTACACCTCTTGGTTTGTTTCGGAGGATGGGGATGCAATTAGAAATTCTTGAACAGCTTGCTTTTGTTCCTAAGCAATATCTAAAATAGAGTGCACGCCAAAAGGCAAGTGAAATTCATGTTCCTTTAAAATAAGTTCTTCTGTCTAATAAAGCTTATTCAGAGCTGGAAGATGCCCTGATTTACAGTTCAGATACAATTAACACTTTCATTTCACATCATTCTTTTTCCTCATAACTGAATATCTGAATCACACACTGAAAAAAGCAACTACAGACCACTTCTATAAACCCAGTAACAAGCAGGTGGTGCAGACAAATTGAAGAAAAAAGTCTTGCTTTCTCCTGGTATTCTAACGGAATGTTTTTCCCCAAGAAATCTTCAGCCCAGCACCTAAAGCACCTCATGAAACGGGATGTAGACACTTGTTTTCTTTTGGGAGTCCTACGTGCAAAATTGGTAGGATGGTTACCCTAGGCTTTGCAGGGCAGAGACCTTTGGCATCTATGCTGTCCCTAAAATGCTACCTCTACTCCCCTGCACCATACACACCCACACTCAACCGTTCTTCTTCCCACTCCAAACTCAAAAGCTATAGAAAATCTGAACCCTCAGTCTCAGTTTGCTTGCTGGCACTGGTGTTATCTGGCAGCACTGCCACATGAATGGTCAGAAGCCAAGCAAATATGTATTTAACGGGAATTATGAAAATCAAAAAGTGCAAGATTCAACTTTTTGAAAAGCTCCTTCTTCCCCCACATCAAAGGGCTCATTGATTTCTTGCTCAAGTTCTGACCGAAGTGGAGCTAAGTGGGTGAAAGGAAGGGAGAAAAAGATAAAATTTAATCTTATGAGCTGTGTCAAGCAAGTACTTTATGACCCATCCGAAGCTGATCATGAGACAATTCCTGAATGTAAATATGATTTAGTATGTCTGGCAAATGTTAGGCATCTCTCCAAGCATATTCTCCAGGTGCGAGATAGCTCTTTGTTTCCTTTGCCCCCTTTTGTGTGTCCTTGAACTTTGTATTCCTTGAAATCCCAACTATCCACGTTAATAAAGTGTTAAGGTGCTTGTCCAGGAAGATTGGCCCTGCTGATTTCAGCACTTAAAAAGGGAAACCGCTCTGTTGTTTTAACCATTTCAACACTTACCATCTCAGTTTATCTTCTTATCTCACTTAACTTCTGTTCAAAGTCAAACAGGAAGCAATTAAGGTGAGCCTACTACAGAGCAGCCCTCAAAATAGGGAGCTGGGTCCCTAGCGCAGAATGAAGGTCATGCCCTGAAAATGTAGTTAAACATCTGTGGAAGGAATGCAGAGCCCATACACCAGGGCGGCCGGTGTGAAAATACGCCTCACCTCGGGCAGATGACCATGGCCGAGGGGGACATTGCTACCAGCACCTTTATGGGAAGCACTAGTGGCAACACTGGTTGAACCAACACAGCACATTAGACCACTGATCTTATCTACTTGAATTAATACAAGAGGGGAGGAAAGAAACCCAACTCCCTGCTAAGCTGCAAAATTATCATCGTTTCCTCTCACCTAACTCCCCTTTGGCTTTTGTCAGGTCACTGCCATGATGACAGGGAAAGGGCTGTCATGGAAAGAAGCATCTAATGACAACAATGGGAGACAAAGCAAAGTCTTTACACAAGATTTAGCTAATTATATTTTGGGCAAATATTTATTTATCTAAAAACAAAATAAAAATCATTTTTAAAAGAAAAATGTATTTAAATAAAAAACAAAACTGTGAAATGTTATGGCACAAGTTCAAGAGAAGTATAAATCCAGTTGCCACAACTGTTGCGTATTAATGTTGCACATTTTTCTATAAAGACTTTATTAAAAGATATTTACATGGCCATAAGATGTGTAAATATATACAGCAATCTGGGGACAACTTTTTTTTAGGATTCTCATATGAAAAAATGCCTTAAATACAAAACTTTGAAAGAAAAAAAGTTGAAGAGTTCATCCCCAAGCATGAAGAATGTCCCATCATCCCTTATGCCCAAAGTGTCACTTATGAGGCAGTTTTGAGGTTCTGGCCAAACCCTTGGGAGATTCAGCCAAGGTTGTGTAGTCTCAAGTTAAATCGCACAGCATGCAGTTGCAATAGTTCCATACTCGGCAGACTGGTGTAGTTCATGACTGATATTAGAAATACTAATATTTTATCATAGTTTCAGTCTAGTTTGGGTTACTCTAAGCAATGCCCAAGAGCTCCTATGCACAAGAGTTCCTTAGCTGCTCGAGTTTGTGTTTCAACTGTTCTCTCCTCCGCCTCAACTGCTCTTTCTCTGCGATCAGTCTGTGTTCGTCCGACTGGATGGAAAGAACATACTCCGTTGCTTTTTTCAGGATGACAACCTTGGGCGCCTTTTCGTTGTTGGCCACCTCGGGTATCTGGTCACGCAAGGCAAAGAAACTCAGCTTCAGCTCGTTTCTCCTCTGGCGCTCCAAGACGTTGTGCGTTCGCCTCTTGTCGTTCTCTTCCGAATCTGACGTGCGGGGACTTGAGCATTTTCGGTTATTGCTGATCTGTTTGAGAACTCTGCCACTGTCCAACTTTAGCCTTTTCGCAGCTGGGTATTCAACCTTGGTGGACGGAGGAGCGGCGTAATTGTGCTGATGGATGTTGACGTGACACCGTTTGAGTACCAGCGGGCTGTGGTGAGGCTTACTGTGCTCTTCTGATGTGTCTGTGCTGGACTCTGTGCTGGATTCCGATTCATTCGCTTCAGCTAATGTAACAACATCAATTTCCTCATCTTCCTCTTGTTCTTCTTCTGCAAGGGGAAAAAAAAAAAAAGGTTTAAAAGCTGATCTGCACGAATAGTCTCAAGAGCACCGTATTTATAAGGGAAGGTTACTCTGAGCTGCACAGCAAGGAACCCCTTGCTAAACCCTTATTAAACCCATTTGCTGCTGCTGGACTCCGCTTTCCCCAAGAGCCTTTCCTTTAAGGATGCAACGCTTCAAGTGCAATAGGACACAGGGACCGCGCTCCAAACCCTGGCTCCCTGATTTCAAAAATTGCAAAGATCTTGTGTAATTCCGAGGAGCACATGAAAGATAGCAAGAAAGTTTAACCTCGGTTGTCAGCAGTACAGCGCAATAAAGCTCCCAGACTCAAGCTGCCCTTAATTAAGGATTTAGAAGGCTTTGGCCACGCCTCAAAAGAAAGCTTACTTAACACACATGTGTATTCAGAGACGTTTTCTGAATCTCTCTTGATCTGCTAATTTGTGGAAAATCCAGTGGGGGGGGCGGGGGGAAGAAGGCTGTAACGCTTTGAGTAGAAACTCACTTTCAAACCAAATTTATGAGGGAGCGGAACACGCTGTCAAATACCTAAGGAAGCATTTCTAAAACTTTCCCAGCCCCATTCACTCCTCGCAGCCACTTTCACTAGCACCTCCCGGCCTGCACATTCCCCCCGCGGCTCTCGGGAGGGGGTTAATTCCTTCCCGGCCCCACGGGTGGCACCGGGAGCCGGCTCCACCGGGACACCGCCTCGCAGACCGACTCTGACCCCGTTATGAAAGTTTCTCCCTCCCCCCGCCCCTTTTTT